TAAGGAATAGACTGGATAAAATAGATAGCATAGCTAAAAGATGTTTAACTAGCTGCATCACAGCAACATACATTGTCAAACAATCTTATAAAATAATCTGATTTTTTTATTATGCAATAAAAATGGCACCGACACTGCGCAAAAAATAAACATATAAACAATTAAATGTAATTAAATTAAATTAATTAATTAAATTAATTAATTAAAATGCCATAAATCGTATAAAAAGTACAAAATAATAAAGAAAACACATGAAATTTCGTTAAAACGCATTTTTCCGCATATATACATATATACCCATATAATCAAAAAAGTGAATTACGCGAAAAAAATAAATAATTTTTATTAAATTGCGTAAAAAATACCTGAATTGTCATAAAAATAATTAAATTAATTAAATTAATTAAATTAATTAAATGTAATTAAAACAATTAATTAAATTAATTAAATTAATTAAATGCAATTAAAACAATTAAAAAACAATTAAAATACCTGAATTACGCAAAAAAATTAATTAAAATGCCATAAATCGCATAAATCACATAAAAAATTCATAAAATTTCGTCAAAACACTTTTTCCGCATATATACATATATACCCATATAATCAAAAAAGTGAATTGCACGAAAAAAAAAAATAAATTACCCCTAAAATACCCTGAAATGCCCTGAAATGTCGTAAAATCCCATAAAATCTTTGAATTATGAAAAAAAAAATAAATAAATTGCTGTAAAAGTGTGTAAATTAAATTAAATGTAATTAAATTAAATTAAATTAATTAAATAATTAAATTAAATAAATAAATTAAATGTAATTAAATTAAATTAAATTAATTAAATAATTAAATTAAATTAAATTAAATTAATTAAATAAATAATTAAATTAAATGTAATTAATTTTTTTTTATTTTATGTATATGTAATATAGATAGTTAAATTGCTTGACTATTTACACAATCATGGGAAACATTATTAAAGATCATACCTTTGATTCTGCACAATTTTATGCAGATCATCGTGATGAAAACATACGATACTTAAAGGACATACACAAAGAAGCAAAGATGATTGTAAATCAAATGGAAGCTATTAATGATAGACTAAAATATATTGATGAACAACAAAAAAAATATGGACAACATTTCAAGGATTTTATATACTTTAAGAATAGACATTTTGTAGAATTACATCAATACAATCGTTTGACAGACTGTCTGAAAAAATCAGTAAATGATTATATATATGATATGTCTTCTACAGACTCCACAGATTCTACAAATTTCATAGAAAGATAAATGATTAAATATTTTTTTATAGTTTGAGTTGATTATTAAGTAATCATCATGGGCATCGTTACGTCATCAATGTGTACAAAATTATTTAATGATCTCAAAAATATACAAACAAAAATATATACTATGAGAAAAACAGCAATTAAATCAATGGTTACTTCATCTACTAGATTTAATGATTATCTTGCTTTATTAAAAGAAACAAAAAATATACAACTAGAGCTTAATATTTTAGCCATTAAAATTTATGCGTTTAAGGAAAGTTCAAATAAAAAATATAGTATATTATGCGCGCTGAAAACTGAGTTATATAATATGAACAAAAAAATAAATACTTGTTATTATAATAATGTGGAACTTGATACTGAGTAATTATATTATATATATATACTTTATATTTTATTGCTTATAGTTACTACACATAAATCAACATGGGTTTGGCTACATCACACAATTGTGAGGAACTCAACAACGCTGTGACTACGATAAACAATGAAATAACTCATTTTCGCAAACGAATTTCCATGAGAACACGTTACACACCTTATAGCCAATCACAATTTGTTCTGATCATAGAAGATGTTAAAAAAATCATTTCAAGGTCTAATGATATAAGAGAACGATTAACTAACTTACCATGGGATTATTTGAGATCATATTTCATGTTTCATAATTTGATATTAGAAACAGCTGAACTAAAAGACTTCATGAAAGATACTATTATAAGATATGAAAAATGTGCTCACTAATAGTCATCATCATGGGTATTATTGTATCATATATATGCAGACCTTTGCATATAGAAGTTGATGACACTATGTCTACAATAATGTGTACAAATGAATATATTAAAGATAGAATATATATATCTACAGATTTTGATGAAAAATTAGTGCTTAATAATATACTAGATAATAATTTGTTAATAGAAGAACAATGTGCACTAATGAAAGCAATTTTAAATGACTTTCCATATAATTGGTGGTTATTATTTTCTGAATATAATAGTTTAGTTATTAATTCAACATATATGAAATTTCTTGCAAATAGAAATTTAGATGATCAAATAAGGATTGAAAAAAAAAAGCATATTAATTATGCATTAAATAAATGAAATAATAAATTTAATAATTAACGTATTGTTTTTTTTTCATTATTATATTATTTTAATGAATATATTTATATAAAATAACTATAGACTATTCATACACAATGGGTGGAATTCAACCTAAACTCAGCGTGAACTCAGAAGAAAATACAAAAAAAATACATTGTAGCATCAATGAAACCAAAGTTGATATAAGGTTTATTAGGGAAGATCCTAATAAAGCTATATATGCCGCTACAATTCTTCAGAAGATAAAAGAAATACAACGAGATACCAATGTAGTAGATGTTTGTCTGAACAATCTATCATGGCGATCTCATGTGACCAAGTATGACTATAGCTACATGCAAAACAAAATCAAAAGGTTGAATAATCGTATGCATGTGATTAATGGCAAAAAAGTTGATAAAGCTTATGCTACTAACTTTAAGAAAAAATAAAGCACTAACTAAGAAGTATCATCATTCTATAAGTTGTCATTATATTATTAAAAGTTTGTATATAATGATATAATATAGATTATCATTTATCACATCCTTTGCTGATAAAATCACATAAGGTATTGACAAAGTATCAAAATGTCAAATTCTACACCCATACTAAGTCAGCTTCTATCTAATAAAGATGTTTCATCTACTGCTGCCACTACTGCTGTTGCGGCTGCTGCTGATGCTGATCCATCAAAAAACAAAGATTCTGTAGTAGCTATACCTGCTACTAGCACTACTGAAAAGATTTTTACCAATGAAGAACTTATCAGGACTATGAATAGAATAGAAAAGGGCATACAAAAAAATGCCGCTGATATTAGTGATCTTAAGGCTAAAGCAGATATAACTACAAATGCTATTAGCAATATATTGGAAGTGACAAAAAGACTGGCTAGTGACATTATTAGTGTGAAGCGACAACGTCCAATAAATTATCATGAGTCAGCTGAGCTAACGGAGTCTACTGTAGAACTTGAAGAAAAGAGAAATAGTTCCGTTAGACAAAATGATACATGCAGATTTACTGTATACAAAGTGCCAACTGAAGATGACATTGATAACTGGATAAGCGAACACATGCTATAATTAGTATGTAGTATATGTATCAATATTTGATAACATATATAGATAATATTACTTATAAAGAATACACAATGGGTAATATTATTCACCCTAGAATAAATATAATTCGTAATGAAATAATCTTACTAGAAATAGATTTATATACTGCAAAGTATGATATATCTAACATAGAAAATACTAGTTTGGATATGAACTATGTTATACAAAATATTTTGAAAGAACTATTAAATTTGGAAAAATTATTAGATTTATATAAGTCTCGTATTTTATCAATTAATAAATACAGATTAAACACAAATAGATTATTAGGATATTTGATTATAGATTTAAAAAAAATTAGAAAACAATTAAAATCATGTCAATATAGAACAAAGTTATTACACATTAATTATAAGAATATGCTTATGTATTTAGACTAATATAATTATGATTTTATATTGTATGTTTTTTGTAATTATTATTTTATAGTAACATTGTATGTAACAACATTGAAGTATGCGTTATTTGTGTGTGCTTCTTCTTGGAATATTAATAATTATACAATATTATAAAATTAATATACTTAATAATACACACAAAGACATAGTTTATAACTCAATGAATACTTTAAATTATGAAATATCTGAATGGGAAAAGTATATAGATAACATCATTAGTAATGAAGACATAAAGATATATGTATCACGTAACAGAGTGAAATAATATTTATAAAAGCCATAAATGGCTTAAGTTTATATAAAATAACTAATATAGTTATTAAGGCATTAATAATGTCTAATATATCTCTGAATCAATATCTTATATAATATAGTAGAGTATGGGAAACCATAGCTATATATTTTTTTATTTATTATAAATATTTAATATATAGCTAGATTGTAACAATGTCTAAGTATATTGATACTGTGAACACTTTGCACTCTATTGTACTAGATCTGTATGATGCTTGTGAGAAATCAGAAAGAATATGTGGAAAGCGGCATGATGTTATATGGCCACTAATGGATAAACTGTTAGATATTATGGAAAAATTTAACAATCGCATAACAGATGATTGTCAAGCAGAACTTGAAAAAATATTTCCTTTATCAGAACTAACGTTAGATAACGTTGAAGATGGACATCCATAATTGAATATATATTGTTAATGTAACTTAAATAGTAATTAACAGTAGTTAATTAACATAATTATTATAAGTAACATGATTATGGATGATTATCTTAATGATGTTAAAAAAATGTATGAGAATATATTAACTATAAACTATGAATTAAGAAGACTAGAATATATATGTAATAATGAAAATGGAGAGTTTAATCTTATGTATAATACAGCAAAAACTTTAGAAGAAAGTATCAAATCACTTAAGTATGCTATTATAGCTAATTCTTACGTTGAACCATATTATGGATAAACTTATCATTATATAATTAATTATAATTAACATTATATTGTTTTTTTGGTTATAATAATCAAATAATGTTTTAATAATTATATGATTGATATAATAGCATTTGTATTGCAGCCATGGCAGAATACAAAGATATCGTTGGTGAACTTCGTAATTCCATTACGGATATGTCCAAAAATGTTGCAATGCTAAAGTCATTGTATGAAACTGGTGCTGAAGAATTCAAAAGCATATGGGATCCATTTAGCAATCTAGTGGATGATATGGCTAATCTGAAAAGATGCATCATCTTAACTAACAATGAAAGTCAAGACTATGATCCAGAGAATCCATTAGAAGAAGAAGAAGAAGATGATATGGAAGAACTTAAGAAAATAAACAACTTTACCACTTCCAATACCTCTGATGCTTCTGGAACTCCTGATACTACTGTCGCTGATAAAGGTAGGCCTCTTAGACCTGAAACACCTAGAGCCATTGTACCTAAATCTCTCAACATCAATGACTATCTTGATTCTCCTAGGATGCTTGAACATACCAGGTCTGAAATACCTGAAGCTTCTGGTGATTATTTTGCATATGAATCTTCATGCGAATATAATGATGCATATGCCTACAACGATTCAAGTGATGAGGAAGTTTATGTTTCCAAAAGAAAGGCCATTGACAAGCCTTATAGAGCTTACATAAACACAGAATGTACCATTCCTGAAGAGGTTGAAACTCCTATAATATCTGATGATATAAAAGAACCTAAGGCAAAAAAGTCTAAGGCAAAAAAGTCTAAGGCAAAGGAACCTAAAGCAAAGGACCCTAAAGCAAAAGAGCCTGAGGCAAAAGAACCTAAAGCAAAAGAACCTGAGGTAAAAGAGCCTGATGCAAAAGAATCTAAGACAAATGAGCCTGAGCCAAAGGAGTTAAAGAAATTCAAAAAGTTAGGACATCTTAAAGATTCTGGTATGTCAGACAATTTGAATGTATCAGATGATTCAAAGATGACAGATAAATCAATGTACTCAGTAAAGTCATTGATGAAAACATCGCCACAATCACGGGCAGAAATGGTCAAGTCAGCTGCACCACCAGTGCCCCCACCAAGAAAATCTGTCAGGAATAAGTCAGTGATAACAAAAACTCCCACTGAATCAACCTCAGATCCAGAGGAAGATAATCTAGATACAGAAAAGTCAGTCAAAGTGACTAAATCTACTGATCCAAATGTAGCTACTTATGAGGATACAGATATGGATGATATAAGCAAACAGCTACCAGATAAGCTAGATATATCCGTGGTCACAACAACTGATCCGAAACCACCCAAGCTAGCTAAGCATGAGGATACAGAACTAGATAAGACTGAGAAAGTGGAAAGTGTTGATACTGCTAACACTACAAACAAGGTGACTAAATCACCTAAGGTACACAAGGTTCCTAAATTAATCAGGTCAAACAGCACTGATAAATCACCTCCGCCTATTCCACCTAGGTCATCTAAGCCACGTATTCCGTGCAAATCAATGAAACCAGCTACTCCAACTAAGTCAGCTAAATGATGAGATGGTCCAGAACCAACTAGTATAGTTCACTAAAGAATTTGTATAATTAAAAAATATACACATAATATATTATAATTTGCTATCACATTATAGTACATTAGTTTGCAATAATGTCCAAGTATAAGGAAGATGTTGCTATTTTAGTTGAACGTGTAATGGATTTATTTAATATCATTTTGGAAGTACAATATAAATGTAATAATACTAGAGATTCATTTACAAACCTATGGTTAGCTGTTGATAACTTAGCTGATTATATAGAAGATTTACATGATCGTGTTACAAAAGATAGTGAATCTGAATCAATTGATTCAAATATATAATATGTATCAGATTATTTAAATGATAATTTAATAATAGATAACTAAACACTAGTTATTACAATGTTGAACTTTGATGTTATTATCAAGTTTCTTGATGCAGTCATAGATTTGACAAATATATTTCTGAGTATGTCAGCACAATGTAGATGTCCAGATGGAGTATTAGATGAAATGTGGACTACAATTTTATATCTAACAAATACTGCAGACATGTTAAGGAGATATGTTGATAGAATTATATATATATTAAATATTCATTAGTAAATTACATAACATTATAGCTTGCTATATGTTTTTTTGTATTTTATTAATATATTAATTATAACAAAAAAAAAGTATAATATTAATGTAACTACATAATTATATATTCAGTTACTAATTTGATTAATAAGAGTTTTGTTGTAATTAAATATATAAGTATAATACACATAAATATGAACCTAAAACACATAACAAAATTCCAAAACATAAATAGTATAATATTATATTAGCTTCAATAGATCTATGAGTCCATTCATGAGGCCAAATTATCTCATCTGTATTTGTACCAATACTAGTACTAACACTTAGATTAGTTATAATACCATTATACTTAATATTACCATCTGATATTATAAGTCTATAGTTATTATTGTCTTGCTGTTTATCTAGTTTAGTAGTTACTTGTTTTTTTATAACACAGGATGACACCATTATTAATTATTAAGTATAAACTATACTTATATTTGTTATTTTAAAAAAATACCAATCTATTTATTGGTATCTATAACGCAATCACAATATAATTTGCACGTCATAAAAGTGCGTCCAATGGTAGTGAAAATGATCTTTAGATCACAGTTGTAGTATTTTAGATACAATGTAAGCATCAGTATGGTAAGTATAACTGAAGTTATTACCATAAGTAATTCTGTAATAATATACTGGATAAAATCACATACTTGTTTAGATGTTGTTGATGATTTATGCTGTGAGTCTTGTTCAATAGTTTCTTCAATAGTTGATATAGTATCTTTAACTATCAAAGTATCAGATATCAATTCCATTTTGTCAAAGTCTGATTTAGATTCAGTTTCAAACCCAGGTGTACTGTTAATTTTTTTTACACAAGGTATACTGTCATTTGCTGTACGTATGTATCTATATTTGGTTCTAGAAACAGCATTTGAATGTGGCTTTGGCGGCACTTTAGTACCCATATATTTAGGTATCTTAGTAATACCTGTAGATCCTGTAGAACTCATTATCTTGCCAATACGTGATACAATATATCTATTATAAATGAATACTAAATAATTATGTAAAGATAAAGCTAAATATCTACTAAGTAATTAAAAATATTTCTGATAGCAGATTAGCAAAATTAAGATTATTGTAATAAGATGTACAATTCCTCCAGCGCAAAAACTAATCATTGGTTCAAAATCTGTTCTCATCATCATAGTTATCCCAATTCCCATCCATAATCCAAGACCTGACAACAAACTTCTAATGATATTATTATAAAACTCTCGCTCTCTATTTTTTTCTAGAGCTTCTAGAGTTTCTTTATATAGTTTATTAGTCTTGTCAATTATATTTTCAGTATCCTTTGATTTACTTTTAACTTCATCTATATCTTCATCTTTATCCTCATATGTATTTTCATCTTCAGATTCATCTTTGGTTTTATCCTTAACTTCAATAGATTGAATTGTTTCTTCCATTATGTTTGATCCATTATCTTTTTTATATCCTCGATAATGTTTATATTCTTCTCTTCTAAAAGCGTGTTTAATTGTTTGACTATCACCATCCTCTGTGCATTTTTCATCCTTTGTATTCTTTTTTTCGCACTGTTTATCTTTAGTCTCCCCATTGTTGTAAAGGGGTTTGAGGGGTTCATGTATAATCTTTTGATTTTCCCTACTAACTTCTTCAACTCTTCCGAATGATAAGCTAGTAATGGATTCGATGTTATCGCTGCTGGGGTCGTAATTAACGTTGGTGTTGGTACTAGTGTCAACGCTGGAGCCAATATTGGTGTTGTTGTTGATACAACTTGCTGCGTGTATAAATTTACACAATTGGTTGTCGCATTGAAATGTTTCGGATCCACTGGTAGCAACTGATTCATCTGATTGCTCATCTTCAAAGATATTATCAATCTTTGTAGATTCACCGATTGAACTGGATGAATACATTAGTAATTCTAATACTTTATTCTAAAAAATATTATTTTAAAAATAATATTTTCAATTTAAATTAGCTCTATATTTTTTAATAGCATAATACCAAATAATTATGTATGTAAAAATACTAACCAGTATGCATAATGAATAGCATAATATATATACATACTTTATTAGCGTATATTTACGTTGTACTGGATCAATATTATTGATTATTATCTTATCCATTGTATGTTTATCTATTATAAAAAAAAAACAATGTTAGTTATTATTTGACTACAATTTTATCTTAATGTATTTGCAACACACAATTTATATATATAATTAATAAATGAAAGTATTAATGCAACCACAATGAGAAACATTAACAAGATTAGAACTAATAGTTCTTGTACCAAAATGTATAGAGTATTCTTGAGGGTCCATTTCTTAGTTGACGACAAAGTGTATGCAGATGTGCCAAGTGGTAATCTTAAGTTATGGTTATTCATTACTTGTGATTAAATCCTAAATAAATTCTAAGTAGTTTCAGGACTACATTATATTGCTGGTATAATCATCACTATTAATATGCACAGTGTCAGGCTAGCCATACATACTACTAATTCAGTCATCAAAAATAGCGAATGAATGTTACACACTTCATTGCATTCTTTTATTTCATGGTAGTTAATGTATATCTCTGTCATGTCTTTGCGTGGGGCAGAAATGGGGAGCATGTTTACTGATTTTGTATACAATTCTATTAATATTTTTTATGGTATACATTATAAAAAAATACTTATTATTAATTAATTAATTAATTAATTAAATTATATTTATTTAAGATAATCAAGACTCAGAATTTAAGGTTCAGTCTTCAAAATGCAGAGTATATAGGCAGTGATCATAAGTCAGAATAGTTTATATGGTTTTAGTTATTCTGAGAGCTATGATGATGGTGCCAAATGCATATATGGCCAATATGAACACAGATATGCTAATAAAAACATTTATCTTTTTGTTCCATTTTTCTACCTTTTTATCTATGTCAGCCATTTTGCGATGAAACTCTATCATTCCTTGTCTGTGTCTACTAGCATATAGTTCTGGTCTATTATGAGATAATTCTGCTCTAACTTCTTCCATACTCTTGGTCATGCTTGTTTGACTGCTGTATTTCATAATTGTATCTTATACAAGTACTATATATATTTATAATATTAAATATAAAAAAAAATATGATTAATATTTATTAAGTAAGCATAGCTTATTAGGATCTGTAGGAAGACCTGTGTGAATTGATACATACATACCTTCCCAACATTTGTTTATGCATCTTTTTTTTGTTGGTTCTGCTGTTCTTATATCATAGTTATTTACAATTGGATTTGGAAAGTAGTCATGAATAAGTGGATAATATATTCTATCACTATTTGTTAATGAATTAATTTGTTCTTTTGAACCTTGAATTGCTCTCAAAGTCAATGGACATGGAAGAGTTATTGTAGGGCATGATTGTCCTATTACATTCATAAAATTGTTTGGTATAGTTTGTGGATATGGTACTGGATCTTCATTACAACATAAAAATGGACCACAAGCAGCATAGCATATTGGAGTTGTAAATCCTAAACAATATAATGGCATACTTGTTTGATAATTCAATACTTTTAGTGTTATAGAAACATTAGATGATAATGATGATTGTCCAATAAGTTGACATGTTACAATACAATAATAGTGACCTATCATGAATCCTTCATGACGCATCATACTATTGAATTCACGAATTTCACATAAATGTTCAAATGGAATGATACGTATTATTCTACAAAATGGAACTCCATTAAGCACTAAACATAATTGATTTATTCTTGCTCTAGTATTTATTAGTATAATAGGATTACTCATTATATAGTGACAAGCTTTAGCATCTTTAAAATACAAACCTGCATTTGTTTTTCTTGATTGTAACTTCTTCGACATTAATTGATACAAATCAATGCTCATTATAACTATATAATCAATACATTAATATGCTATATATATAAATATATATTTGTATTAAAAATCTACATGCATTCATATAATATCTTCAAGAACATCAGTATCTTCTAGTGTAGTATAATCATTTTCATTTACCATATTAACAAATCCCATAAATTCATCTGTTGAATTAAGTGTTTCTATTGAAGTAGTTTCTGAAGTATGTTTATTAAACATACTCATAATATCAGATTCATTTAATGTTGATAGCGATATATTATCCATCATAAATGATGGCACAATATCTTGTACAGAAGGTAGCATACATACTGCAGTTTCTGATAGTACAACATCTTTTTTTACCATACAGTCTGTTTGTAGAAAATCTATATCTTCTATACTATTCGCAGGTGAATTGTCTGAAATATCTACAAAATGTGGATATTCATTAGTATTGTCAGTATTCTCTGTTATTTTCTTTGTTTCATTTGTAGTAGGTATAGGTAATATTGTTACTGGAAAGTATTTGGAATCA